ATTCCCCAGTGAAAACATTCCAGTTATTAGATTTAGATTAATTGTAGCCATCTTTTTTACCAACACAAATGTTTTGGTTTGGGCTGCTGATTAAACTCCTGCAGCAGGGGAAAAACAGAAGAAATGATGTCACTGTTTGGTATGTTTTATTATCTCCAGGAAACCATCACATCCAGCAGTGATGCTTCATGCACCTGGCTGGTCTGAGGGTGCAGATGCAGGCCGGAGCCACCTAGGAGGTTTGCTGGCTTTGAAGGGAGTTATTTCATTTCCTACGAATGCCTCTGCCTGCCTGGCCTCCGAGCTATTAATACTGGGGTTTGGCAAAAAGCGAGTTTGGCATTTCATAACTTTCTGTTTTGACCTCTTCTTGACCCTCTCGTAAAATGTTTCTTGGTGGAAAGTAGAGCCACGAGGCTGTGCCAACGTCCCAGATGGTTCCCAGAAGGACCAGCACCAACATCCCTTTGCTCTGTGCATTGTCACCCCATTTCCAGGAGCAGGGACGCGTGGGGCTGGTGGCAGCAGAGCATCTCAACGCAGCGGTGGAGAGGCTGCCTGGAAATTACAGGATCTCCCCTAAAATAGCCATAGAGGTGTCAAGGGATGTTGATTGACCACGCTTGACCCATGTGCCCCATTTGGAGCATGTGTGGGTGCTATGTTGGTGGGATGCTGCCCGCATCCCTCCCGCTGCTCTGCCCCCTGGGAGCTGCTGGGCAGAGGTAGGTTCCCTTTAATTAAAACCCCGAGCATGAAAATATTAGCGGTAAATCCCTGAATGCTGGAGGTCTTGTGGCTAAACACTGAGGAATGTGTTGTCTCAGCCCGGTCACGCTCAGCGGTGAGGAGAGCGCGGGGGGACGAGGGAAGGGAACTATTGATCCATCCCCAGGTTTGCCTCTGTGATTGCAGCCGGTTGGGGTCCAGCACCAAGGGTTTTGCTGAATTCAAACCTTTTCCCAAATAATAATCTGTGTTAGTGTGCATTGATCCCTTGGAAAAAGTTAAGAATAGAAAAGTTTTCCCTTGGAAAAGTTAAGAAAGTAACGGTGTCGCATCCTGGGCCATGGGGGCCAGCCCTTGGGTTTGGCAGACAATAGCTGCTTATCATCTCATTCATTAATTCAGAAGCTCCATTTTAACTGTGGTTACAGATCACATTTCACTGCTGATGCTTTTTATGAGCAAATGGAAAACCACAACGGAATAGTTTTGAGATAGGTGGGTATGACATGGCAGTGAGAATCACAGACACTTCAAAGAAGCGCAGTTACCTCTTTAGCTGCTCCCTTGCCTGGTGCTGTTTTGATGTAACAGAGCTAGGTATGGATTTTTTTGACTTATTTTTTGTTTAATGTGGAAGCAATTTCTAAAGGCTTTAATTGACTTTCAAAGACTCAATGAAGGAAAAGCACCGATGGGGTTATAGAGTTGTAGTTCCTACCTTTTGAACAAAATTCTTTCCAAATACCAAAGTGGTCCACTGAGAATAAATAGAAATGCTTTCCGTTCTCAGGGGAGCCCAGGTTTTGTGCTTTTTTTTTTTTTTTTTGCTTGGTTGGTTGGTTTTTGTGTGTCATTTTGTTTTGGTTTTTGTTGTTTTTTTTTTTTCCAAGAACAGAAAAAACATTCACGTTGTCAACACCAGTCACTTTTTTTCATGACCTTATATTTTAAATGTTGTTGATCAAACCTTGGACTTCAATAAGCGAAGGACGTTAGTTCATTTGATTTAAAAATTCTGACTTTATCTATGGGAACTGTCACGGAAAGCTTAGCAAAGACTGGAAAATGGATCTTTTTGGGGAGAGAGGAAGAGTTTCAGATTCTGCCTTGCTCCCGGCCCCTTTCCCTGCGTTGCCCCTCTTCTTTCAACAGCTGTGGAGTGGAGCACTGGGAATACAATGGCAGTCACTTATTTACATGGGGGGACTGCGATAGGGAAATGAGGCATTTGAAAAGGTATTTTGCAATTTTAATCAATTTTGTTGCCGCTTGCCAGCAAATTAAAAAACCTGCCCTCCAGGAAGCGTCTGCTGTCTGTGGCTGGGGGAGCAGAGCTGGCTCGGGGGGGGCTGTACTCCCGAAATGGAGGGGGGAGCACTCACGTAGGCAGCTTCTGTGAGATGAGCCCCAGTCTCCCCAAATTGCTACAAAGTCCTTTTTGACCTAGTGAGCCCAGGATTTCTACTGTCAGTCCCACCCTCTGCCCTCAGGCTGTCGCGCTTTGCTTGTGAGCATCTCTTCAGAGCAGCGACAGGAGGGCAAAGACTAATTGTTTTCAGTCCTCTTTAGAATTCATTGGTTTGCCCTCAGTATCTCCCTCTGCAACTGGTTTGCTGCTCCAGTTTTGAGTTTGCCACACTTTGTGTGAAGCCAGAAAGGTGTCATGCCAGGGTTTGCTGCAGAGGACATTCTTTAACGTGACACCAAATTTGGTATTTCTGCAGAAGGAAACTCCCATCTTCCAGCTGACGTGATGGCTGGAGTCGTACCAGCTTCTTCATCCTTCTGCTCCCGGGGGTTTCCATCTGCCCTCCCCACCTTCCACACTGCTGCTGAGGATGTTCAGTCTCAGGTGTGTTTGTTTAGGTTTGGTCCAATTTTTTACTTTTTGCCAGAACACAAAAAGCAGCTGAGCAGCTGAAAAAAACATCATTCCTCTTCATTAGAAAAGTTCCACTAATCCAAATTCTCGTTCCTCTGTAGGAAAATAGAGGAAAACAACCCTCTCCCCTTGGCCACCCCCTTGTTCAACTGCAGACAGGGTTTTCATACTGGAGAGGCTTTAATTGTCTCCTGCATTGGCAGAGTGCCCACCACTGTACCCTGCCACCTTCGTGGGTGCAAAGCTGTGCATCCTACAAGGGATGCAGTAGAAGCAGGTCTCCTTAGGGTGTCCTTACAGCCCATAAAGTGGGTCTGGGCTGTACCAAGCCAAAACTCTCTGGGTCATCACGCTGTGACCCTGCACCCGAGAGTAAAGGTCTTCTGGTCGTTTTAAGTTTACTCAGTTTTATAGGAAGAGAGGAATAGCAGTAATAAAACATGGTATAGAGGTGTTGTAAGGAGATCTTTAGAGCTCTAGATTAACCGTGCCAGGAAAACTCCTGAGCAAGGCACTGACTTTTTTCCACCTCTCTCCATTATTGCTTTATTGTGTATGTAGAAAATGGGATTTACAGTAAGACCGGGTCTGTTTTGGGAGGGTGGAAATAGGGAGGCAGGGAGCTCCTTCTTAGTTCATTAGACACTGACATGTTTGTACCCAAACTGAGAGTGGTACCACTGTTAAAATCTGATTCAAAATTAGAGCAGAAACAGCAGCTTGGAGCAGCAAGCCCTGTGTCCCCATTCCTTGGGGAGGGCAGAGCTGTGTCCAGGCCCAGAAGGGCATGAGATGGGACAGTGGCAAAGCTTTCCAGAGCCCCTCATGAGTGCAGGGACCTGCTCTTTCTCAGATTATCTGGGAAGGGCTCTGGGATCCCCATACAGAGGGTGCAGGCAGGAACCTCCTGTCTCAGGAGAGTGGGAGGGGAGAGCTCAAAAAGAAGAGGAGGAAAGAAAAATATGAACAGCAGCAGTCTTTAAATGCGGATTTTAAAAGCCACTGATTTCCAAACACCTGATAGCGAGCCTACTTTTTTTGAGTGTTAAGTTGTCTTTTTTTGAAAACGGACTGAATAGCGCTTTATAGGAGATTAGGGAAGAGTTGGTCTGAGCCTCCCCACGCAGAGAAGCCAAGGGAGGGTGGGAGCTCTGGTGAGGGGAACTGGGGAGAAGGGGCCATGGTTGCAGCACAGGTAGTGGAACTGATTTGCAGGCAAAATGCATTTTGCCAAAAATGAAGATTGGGGTATGATTTGGGCAGATTTTACGAATTATTTTATATTTATATTTGTAAAATCTGCCCGAACCATACCCCAATCTTCCTGGAGGGAAGGTCTCCCTCTCCCGGAGGCTGGAGGCAGAGCGGGAGGTGACAGGGCACTGACACCCATCTGCCACTTCCATACGAACGTCCCCAAAATTGGGGCACGTGGTTGAATTCCTCCACAACCCCTATGGCTGCCGTTTATCCCAGGGGAAGGCAAGGCTGAGCGAGGTGCATCTTTTGTGGCAAAACTGCAACTTTTCAGCGAGAGCAAATGCAGCTAACGTTTCCCCAAATGTAAAAAAACCCTAGAATATAATATACAGTGAATTGGTGAATATAAACAGCAGGTGGACAACTGCACAGGTCTGCAGGGGTAAGGGGACAGGAGGCCAGCGTGCGACTTTGCAAGGAGAAGAAAAAAGCTGGGATGCTGGTGGAAAAAATAATATAATTTCTATTTAAATAACCGCGGATGGTTTAATTAACACCCGCGGGGTGGCTGGGTGCCGGTGCTGCCTCCCAGGCGAGGAAAACCAAAGTGGGGACAAAGCAGAAAAGCACCTAAAACCTCGGAGGAGGCCGGGTCCGTGTCCCCGGGGCGGGACGGGACGGTCCCCGTGCGGGGCGGTGCGGGAGGCTCCCCCCGCCCCGTCCCGTCCCGTCCCCTCCTGTCCCCTGGGGGGGTGGTCAGGGGCCGAGCCGTCGCAGCGTTCCTGCAGGTGGGTGCTGCCCGAGGGGGGGGACGGGACGCGGGGTCCCACGCGTGTGCGGGGGCTGCTTTGCGGGGGGGACCCGGGGGGAAGGGCTGGACACCCGGGGGGAAGGGCTGGACACCCGGGTCGGAGCCGCCGTTTCTAACCGCATCCAGCTGCACGGGGTGTTTTTGGCCCCGTCCCTATCTCCCCCCCAGCCCCCGCAGGGATGCCGGGAGGCACGGTTACTTATAGCTGATAATTCTTTGCATTAAACGGCAACATTAAACGGCGGGGGTGGGGTGCCACATTAGAAATAACTAACTCGACCAAAGCTGTGTTGGGGCGATGCTGTCGCTGCAGACCGGGGACGTGGGGGAGCAGCATCTCCGGGACTGACCCTGCTGCCTTTGGACTTTGTTTTCCAGGGATTTCCAAGGAGTGCCGGGTGGCCGCTCGTACAGCCCGGCCATGTCACCCCCCGGCCCCCCGGATGGTGGCTGGGGCTGGGTGGTGGTCTTCGGGGCTTTCATTTCTATCGGCTTCGCCTACGCCTTCCCCAAAGGCTTAGCCATCTTCTTCAAAGAAATCCAGGATTTCTTTGGCACGTCCTATAGCGAGATCGCGTGGGTCTCTTCCATCATGTTGGCCACGACCTACGGTGCAGGTGAGTAAACCTGCACCAGCCCCTGCGGCCCCGGGTGTTGTAAAAGCAGAAATAAGCCAGAAATCTCCTCTCTGGGCCAGCGTTCAGGGAAGGCAGTGTCCGTTTGCGTGGGTTTGATCAACAGGTTTATTTTCTGATCGTGTTTCCAATGTCATTTAGGGAGACAAGTCGTATGTGGAGCCTAAAGGGTCTAAGGGGCAGTTTTTCGGAGGTAAATTGGTGTTAGTTGGGATTTTCAAGTGGACCTGGTGTCTTTTGGATTTGTTGCTGGGTTCAGCAGCATCTTTTGACCCCCCTGGGCTTGTGGGGGACTCCAAATGCCTTTGAAAATGCAGTGTTTGACCAGTTTGGTGCTGACAGCCCTTTTATTTCCAGCCAGGTTTGAAGCACCTTTGCTGCTTTTCAAAATAGGGCTCAAAAAACCTTTATAAAGGGATGCAGTATCCTCTGTGCACCAGAGGCTGAGCTGCACGGTGTCTCCCATTGCTGCATCCCCTTCCTTGGCCACGCTGCCAGCCACGGGCTGCATTGGGGCGTTTCTCTGACACCACAAACAAAACTTGGCCTTGGTCCTGTCACGCAGCACCTCTGTTCCCCCAGAGGCAGGGAATACCAGCCCTGCTCCTTGTATCCGAGTGGCAAGGGGTCAGGTGAGATGTTTTGAAGAGATATTGGCCACCACCTGCCTTGCTTTGACATGAGCCAGTAACTGTGCACCCGAGAGGCTGTTTAGTGTAAGTGGTGTGACCCAGACCTGGCACGTTGCTGAGGGTACCAGTGGTGGCCCACTACCAGAAACCAGAAGATCAAAAGCTTTCCATGGACATCAGTGGAAAAGCCCTGAGAACAGGCTGGTGTAAAACAGCTGGGTCTGGGTTTCAGCCAAAGGTGAGCGTGGCGTAGAGCAATAAATGAAGTAGCTGCTTGTTTATTGTGGCAGCTTATAATTACAGCATTGAAGTCGCCGGAGTCAATCATTCTTATCAGTTGCAGAGCAGTGCATATAGCTTTGCTCTTTTTTTTATGATTTTGATATCACTTTCATGACTCCATGAAAAACTTGGGCTGCCTTTGATTAAATCTGCAGTGGGAGGTAGACAGGAACCACACTCTGTAATTGCAGGAAACTTCAATATTTATCCTGGCTATTAAAGCAAATCTGAAAATACTTCTTGTTTTTAAAAATGGATTTGATTTTTATTCCTTAATAATGCATTGTAGTGCTTCTTGGAGAGTGCAGTTGGTAATGAAAGTAGTGATGCTTTGCAAAGGTTTGTGAAGTGCCAGAGATGCTTGAATTGGAGCCCATTGTAGTCTACTCTAGTGTAACCCACTGCAAAGGCTTGGTCCCATGAAGAGTAACTCTGCAAGGGCTAATTTCCTATTTGAGACCCCGCAAATGGAGCACTTTGAGAGCAAAACCCAAGCAGCAATTTAGAGAAGTCCTCCGCTCGAGCCAGTGCTGGCCACCCCCTTGGCCTCCCTGATGGGATGCGGAGCCTGAGCCCTGGGGAGCCTGCAGCTTTGGGATAGGTTTCCCCTGGGACTTGTTATTAAATGCAGAGAAAAGCACTTTTCCCTCAGCCCCAGCAGTGCAAATAAGGAGTCTGCAGTGACGAGGAAACAGCCAGGCTCTCTGTAGGCAAGTGGGTTGCAGTGGGGGAGGCAAACTGCCGTGGGGAGGCAGGCAGAAGGACCACTTGTCATTTAGATGCTACGTAAAGGCTATTTTAAGGGGCTGGGGCAAATTATGTGGGATGTCTTTGAAGCAGTCAGGTGGGGAAGAAAAGAAAAGCAGGTGGCCCATGCCTTTGGTGTGTTCAGTTACCTACAGATGAGCATCTAGGAAGCTGCATGTTTTTGAAGTCCAAAAAAGGTGGCTAATGTTTGGTAGCAAAGTATATGAGGTTGTTGTCTATTTCATGGTCTGGTACTCAAATTAGGACATCACTTGTTGGGAAGGCTGTGACTGGGGCTTTAATTTAACTGAGTGTGCTAAATGTGTCCCGTGGAGAGCAGGGACTGATTTCATGGTCTGGTACTCAAATTAGGACATCACTCGTTGGGAAGGCTGTGACTGGGGCTTTAATTTAGGTGTCCCGTGGAGAGCAGAGACCACTGCTGTCCCTGATGGCTGGGTGCCTGACACATTCCTCTCTGTCTTCCCAAACAGAGCAAACCTTCTTCCTGGGGAAATGCTGTTTCTCCTGCTGCACTCAGTCTTGGGTAGGTGTCAGCTGGGGCTCAAGGCACCGTGATGATGGTGCCATGATTTAACTGTTTTGCAGAAGGCATGTTTTGGGTTGGACACCATCATGCACAGTGAAGCCCTGGGAAGCCCTGCTCTGCCACCGGGTAGAGTGAGACCTTGATGGAGCAGCCCCAAAAAGCATGTCCCTTCTGCCTACTGAAGCGATATCCCATCGCCTACCCAGTAATGCTGCAATAAATGTGCCAAAGTAGTTATCTGTAGGTTGTGGGCTCCCTGGCTGCCTCTGTGGGCTGTTGCCAGCTCTGCTTTGTCTTCCAACAAACACATGCTCCCTCCACCCTCTGGTGTGGCAGAGATGTTTTGTGCCTGACCACAACTAAGTGAGGAACGTGCTCTGCAGATTAACCCTGGACCTGTCAGTGCCCAAAGTTGCTCGCAGGGGGGTAGCTGGGGGACTTGAGCCTCTTTGGGTGCAGGTCATGGATGATGAGCTGGGGCTGGGGCAGGTGAAATGCTGCTCGGATCGCCTCTGCCTTCTCCTGTCTGCAGACTCTCCAGCTCATCTCCTTCTCTTTATCTCCAAGTGTTCAAGCCAGTGCTGTGTGCTCTGTGTCTGGGATGATGTAGTGGACTTTTATCCTAATTAACTGAGCGCCTCCTGCCTTTTTTGCAAGTGTTCAAGCCAGTGCTGTGTGCTCTGTGTCTGGGATGATGTAGTGGACTTTTATCCCAATTAACTGAGCGTCTCCTGCCTTTTTGCGATGAGCTTTAACTTTACCCTCCCTTATGCTATTATATGGTAATGTGGGGGATGATACAACTGGGCACCCTTAGACTTAATTGTAGGTGATTATACCTTTGTACCTTCCCACTCGCCTTGCAGTTGCTCAGAGTTATGTCCATTTAATAGTCCTCCCCTCCTCTGCTCTGCTCTTGGATAAGATTTATGCTCGTTTGATCATCCCTCTCTCTGCAGCTATCCAGGCTGAGACACTGAGTTGCTTGGTGGCTGCAGTCGGGGCCGCGGTGGGAGTTTGCAGAACATGGAGCAAATGAAACACACGTGCCCAGGAGCGTATTTAACACGTCTAATTTGATTGACTGGGCATTTAACACCAGAGCGGGTTTGACTTATGAACTACCTCAGTGATTTGGAAATTCTCGTTAAAGGAACAGGGTGATGGCTCCTGTGAGCTGCCAAAGTCTCCCTCTGCTGTGGCTCCTGTTAGAGCTGTTGGGATGCCTGTGTAGCAAACCTTGATTTGCTTTGCTGAAAAGCTGGAAAAAAAATAGTTTAATGCTGGATTTTTGCTATTTTTTTCTGAAAGAGAAGGAATTCTAAATATGCCAAAGAAAACTTTCACCATAGTCCTTAGTAACAAGCAGAGTTACTAAACCAGGTAATTATTGCCATGGCTCCTCCATTCCTTCCCTTCCTCTCCCACACCAGTGGTGAGGCAGAGGTGGCACAGCCAGGGTGGGTGCAGTCTACAGCCATGTGGGAACTGTGTTGGGGGCATCTCCTACGTGAGGCCCATGTCCTGGGGGGCTGAAGGGGCCAAATGGTGCATTTGCTGGTGTCAGGTGTGGGCATCACGACCAGGAAAACTTGTCTCACCTCCATCCTTTCCCCCTGCTCCACCAGCAGTAAATGGCAGTGATTTGGAAGGTGGCCCCGTAGATCAAAAGCTTTCCTGAAGAGTGCACAGGCTCTGCTGTTTGCTCCGTTGGCTCCAGGGATGGGCTATAGTGCTGCTGTCCCCTCCCTGGGGTTGGGTCATGTCTCTGGGCTGTGCTGTGGCTCTTGGAGCCAGGACTCAGGGTGGTGAGGCTGGGCTGGGTGCTGGCATCTGAGCGTGGGGATGTCCCCCACCAGGGCTGACCTGGCCATCCTGCTGGGCTCCCTCCATCCAGCCACCTTGGCAGGGTCTGACTCTCTCCCTGACAGCAGCTTTTGTCTGCAAATATCCTCAGGAGACCATCCCTCGGTTCCTTGGCGTGACTTGTTTTTAGGCTGTGCTGCTTACTGTGTGACAGAGCTTATGTTTGCATTTTGTAAATAATGCAAATGAAGCGTATTTTCTGAAAATACTCACATGAACTCACAAATCTCCACTGGAGTAGCTCTGTTGACTTTGACAGCGTGGAGGCAGATTTACAGTGACCACCTGAGGCTTTGGCTTGTAGCACCAGAGCAGTGCCAGTTTTTCAGGCTAAGACTGAAAAAGCAGCAGCCAAGACTGTTTCTGCCCTTCACTTTTTGCTTAATTCCCCCAGGAAGCTGTTTTACACCAGCCGAGGCTCTGGCAATATATATTACAGAAGTTTTAATGTGTCTTATCCCCCAGTTTCTTAATCTGAACTAGGTTGCAGAAAACAATTCTGTCACTATAATACAAGTAGTAAAACAGATTAGTGTGCAGTAAAGTGGATAGCCTGGACTTTATGATAGGGTACTTGTAGTTCTTGCCAGCGTTCATGTTCAGCAATTCCACCTTTCCAGTTGCAGAGGGCAAACCAGCAGGTTTGTGACTGAGGAGCACGAGGGAACATTGCTTTTCTGTGACCAAACCCTGCAGGGTGAAACCCTCTCAATCTGATAAAAAAAAGATTTCTCTTTTGCAATGTTTCTTTTTTTGCCTTTTTTTTTTTTCCATGGGCAAAGAGCTCATTCTTTACCCCAAATGAGAAAAGTATTACAGAGCAGACTCTGTGCCAGATGTAAAGGAAAGGAACCAGGATCTGTCCATGAGGGACCAGGGGAGATGCCATCATCCTTCCCTAAAGG